TTTTTTAAAAGCCCACATACAGTAACATTTTGCTGGCTCTGGGGGCCAGCCACAGTGGGGAGGGGGCTCAGTTCGGGGTTAAAAGTTACCTCTCTGCTTCCTGGGATAAGGACTCCACTTTGCGCGAGAGAAGCTGTTCACTCTGCATCAGCTGGTACACCCCAACGTCTACGTCATTGACTGGAGAGACCTTGGCATGTGGCCCTCGGGCAAACTTCACAATCTGAGGGACAGGGAGAAATTACTACTGCTGCTACCACAAAGGCTGAGAACTTCCCAAGCAGGAGTGCTGGTGGGCATATGAGAACAGCAGGCCCCCCTTATCCATGGGGGATACATTCCAGTGAATGGAACCCCCCGTGGATGCCTGAACCCTCGGAGAATACTGAACCCTATACATACAGCTATGCAAACATTTTTCCTTCTTCACAGTTTTTCCTATAGAAGATTCATTCTTACTGTAGATCCTAGCAACCTCAGCAAATGATATTTTGTCTTCCTTATTTAGTCCAGAACTTTCACCTTTTCACTTAAAGGAAGCACCTGACAGCTTCTCTTTGGTAAATCTGGACTGCCAGCACCACTGCTCTTGTGCTTTGGGGCCATTATTAAGTACAATAGGCCAGGCACGGTGGTTCACACCTGTAATCCTAGCACTTCGGGAGGCCGAGGCAGGAGGATCACTTGAGGTCAGGAATTCAAGACAGCCTGGCCAAATGGTGAAACCCCTTCTCTACTAAAAATACAAAAATTAGTCAGGTACTGTGGTGCATGCCTGTAATCCCAACTACTCAGGAGGCTGAGGCAGGAGAATCACTTGAACCTGGGAGGCAGAGGCTGCAGTGAGCCGAGATTGCACCATTGCTGGGCGACGGCAAGACTCTGTCTCAAAAAAAAAAAAAAAAAAACAGTACAATAAGGGTGGCTTGAACACAACCACTGCAGTGCCATGACAGTCAATCTGATCACTGAGACGACTCCTAAGTGACTCAGGCAGGGAGATGCTGGACAAAGGGGGGATGAGCATTCAGGCGGGATACTACGAGGTCCCATCACACTACTCAGAACAGTGCACAACTGAAATCTATGGAACTGTTAATGTTTGGAATTTTCCACTTATTATTTTTGGACCGTGGTTGACTGCAGGTAACTGAAACTCTGGAAAGCAAAATCTCAGATAAGGGGTCGCTACTGTATGTACTGAATCAATCACCGCTGAGTCAGAGAATGAACAGGTGAGCCTCCGTACCTTCTCCCCGTTCTGCTCGAGGACTGTGACCCTCTTCTCCTTCTGCAGCTGCAGCAACACCAAGTAGAAGGTCCTCTCGTCTGGGCAGGAGTTAGCGCAGAGGGTGCTGAGCTCTGACAGGGCCACCACGGGGTGGGAGGAGAGGGGCGAGTTCTGATACAGACGATACACCTCCTCAGCCTTTTCCTGCGGGAAAGGCAACATGGGCTGACAGGCCCTGGCCACTGCCACGGGACGCAGGGACCCTGACCCTGAGCTTCAAAACCATGACCACACAAGGCAAGCACCCGGGAATCCCAAGCCCATCCTCCCCAAGTAGCGGCTTTTTAAAAAAGAGGAAGGATCTGTGTTTTTAAGCCTTGGAGGAAAGTTCGGTGACTCCATATGAAATGAGGCACATGAGATGCTGGGAGCCAGCTCTGCACTGCACGTCCACTGGGGATTTTACACTCCTGCCTCTCTCTGGTCTGTGGTTTCCCAAGGGAAGACTGAGGAGGTGAGCTGAGGTAGAACATCTGTGAAGGAGATCTGAGGCCTGATTTCCAGCCCAGCCTGGGTGACGCTGGGCCAGTCACAGCCTCATTAGTCCTCAGTATCACTCTCTGAAGAGGGTGGATGAAATGATATCTAATTCCCTTCCAATTGTAGTCTCTCCATTTTCCTGCCAATTGGCTATACTG